CACATGTAGTCTTAAGGCACTTTAGAGAGACAATTCAACCAGATCATACAGGCTGATTGGTTAACTGTTGTCTATATAAGGAGACCCAGCTGATTGCATCCAGTCACTGACTTCTGTAGGATTGTTAGTGTGGAGTAAGACATGAGCACTGAGAGTTGATATGCAAGGAAGAAAACGTTTTATTTTACTCTGCAGAGGAGAATGGCACAAACCAGCTGAATACAGCTGAGTGCGATTCTGAAGCATTCAGAAACCCCCCCCTACATTTAAAAAGAATCCACAGCATACACACACATGAACATTGAATCTTCCCAAGAGAAAAATTTAGTTCATCAAAAGACATAAATTTGCTCAAATAAACATTTCAGACAACTGTATTCCGTTCACACTAGAAACAGGACGGGAGAACGATAAGAGCATACGTTTTTAACCATAGCATGAAGGAGGCTTTATGAACTCATTATTTCTAATGACCTTCCCCTCACCCTTATCTAGAGTAGGGAGGGGAGGCACCTGCTTTCTGTCCCCCTAAACAGTACAGCATAGTGAATTGTACAGGATCTCGCTATCATTACTTTTGTTCAAACATTTTATCACACAAAATAGGCCAAGGAAAAACCTTGATTTCACATTAGTTTGCCATCTCTGAACTTGGATGCCAATATGCTCGAATAAATTTGAAAAAAACTTAAAGTGCTGAAACCCTGAGGTGACTTGACTTAAGGTGAAAGACTTATGTGTTTATAGTGGACCATGACTGGGCTATCTAAACAATATTATTACTGTGTTTGTAGTCCAACTTCCTTTCATTTCATTATCAATCATTCTTTTAATCATCTTATCTTTTCATTTTTTATCATTTTCATTATCTTTACTCATGTTTAGCAATCATTTAATTACCTTTATGCAACTTAAATGTACATTTTTCTGTTTCTTTTGTCATGCACAGCAATTTGAATTGTCTAGTACTGTACTACAGTAAATCTGCCACAAGCTGATGACTACAGTAGTCACACTTTGTAATGTTAGTTAACGTTTTTGCCTTAACATTTCAAATATGATAACAAACAAAAGTGAAAAACTTTGGGCTATCTAAAAAATCTAATTATGCAAAAGCATAGTAGTTGAAAGAGCACATGGTTGGAAAGAAAGCAACTTAAAATATGAATTAATAATTTGTATGTTAAAGTGTTGCTTACTGAAACAGATCACAAAAGGTAATCTCTGTTTACTGTTAAACAGCTTAATGATTCCCAATGAAAAATACAGAGCCTAGAGGGACAAAACTGAGCTATTTGGCAGGTACACATACTGTTACATCTGGTGTGTAACTAACATGCATTTCAGAAAACAAGGAATGCAGAGAACATGGTGACTTTCTTCTGGTCCTATTCTCCTGCTTCATGAATTTTGCTCTGACACTCACATGAACATGAACCCAGCCATCAGTTTGTGGGGTTTTGCTCAAGTGTACTCAAGCTGTGCAGCAAGACATAAATTGTGAAGCACACTAGGAGACCACTTTTGAATGGATAGAAAAAGAAAAATAGGTTTGGCTGTGGTCCAATCAAAGCCTAATTTAAATCCAATTAAGATGCTTCACAGGACCTCAAACATGCACATGTACAATGACTCTCCAGTGTGGCTGAATTAGAAGAAGAGTGGACTAAAATTCAGTCCACTTAATGGCAGCTGTGATACAAGCAGTAATGAGATTTGAGGGCTGGAGGGTACTTTCTTACATACCTTAGGGCCAGGTATTAATTAATTAGCAACTTAAGTAAAAGTTGCTTTTTGTTTTAGCTATTTTCATAGAGATTATTTCCTTTTGACTTTTAAGATATAGTAAAACAACAGAGCCAATACACTGTGGGCCGGATCTATCAAAGGTTTGCGTGTATAAAAACGTGAGCTATTTCACTGCGCACGCTAAAAATGTACAAACTGATCTATCAACAGCGTGCTAAAAGGATTTGGTCTTTAAAACGTGCTAAATATCGCCTCTTATCCATTTAGTACTTTTTCAGCAATGAATATGCAATATGGGGCGTTTACACGCAAAAGTGCGTCTTGTGGGAGGAGAACATGTAAATATATTAATTTAGCACTCGCAAAGTGATTTATCAAACCTGAAAGCAATTTTGCTAACGGTATCTGACTCTATATTTAACACGTTTCAAAAGAAGGTGCAAATGGTCTGTATGCGTAATTGCGCACACATGGCAGCGGTTATTGTTGCAAGAAGGAGACATGGAAATTAAGCAAGGAGACGCAGAGAACGCATTTTTTCACTCCGTGTGAATATTTTTGGAATGAACGAGGAAACGATCATCAAAACATATCGTTTATCCAGCATTGCCATTTTGGAGCTGCAATTCCAGTGATTTGCTCCTCACAGAGCGTCAGCTGTACTTGTTCCTCAATGCTGGTCAGAGGCATCTCATCTACTGTGCCCCCTCCTGTTTTGTTCGCAGATGTGTTGTTATATGCCAGTTTTTCTTTGGTTCGCCTTCTAATATCCTGGTATCTTCTTTTTACTTAATCCACTGTTCGCAAGGTTTCACCAACAGCGTTTACTTTATTACAGATTTGTTCACATATAGCGTTCCTCTGTGTGCAAATGTTTGTTGGCTTCATCCACCAACACCTCCATTTCCATGGGGTCGAATTTCCTTTTGCGCCTTCTGCTGTCCAAACTCGCCATGCCGCAAACCACAAAACGCGCAAAACCATCATTTAAATAGGGCGTCTCCAACAGTTTTGCACCTGCCACCAGTTACGCAATCGCTCTTGTTAAATCACCCGCAAACCATGGTTCAGCCCCTCATGCAAAATTCCAGTTTGCGAGCGCAAATTACTGCACGCAAAATTGGATCTTGATAAATCCGGCCCCAAGTGCAGAATTATTAGGCAAATGAGTATTTTGACCACATCATCCTTTTCATACATGTTGTCCTACCCCAAGCTGTATAGGCTTTAAAGCCAACTATCAATTAAGTAAATCAGGTGGTGTGCATCTCTGTAATGAGAAGGGGTGTGGCCTAATGACACCAACACCCTAAATAAGGTGTGCTTAATTATTAGGCAACTTCCTTTCCTTTGGCAAAATGGGTCAGAAAAGAGATTTGACAGACTCTGAAAATTAAAAAAATGGTCAGCTGTCTTTCAGAAGGGTGCAGCAGTTTGGAAATTGCCAAGCTTTTGAAGAGGGTTCATCACACATTCAAGCAGTTGATGGCAAATAGCCAACAGGGGCGTAAGAAGCGTGTTGAAAAAAGAAGACTCAAAATAACTTGCCATGAATTGAGAAGGATCAAGCGTGAAGCTGCCAGGAAGCCATTAGCCACCAGTTGTACCATATTTCAGAGCTGCAACATATCTGGAGTGCCGAGAAGCACAAGGTGCTCAATACTCAGGGACCTGGCCAAGGTAAGGAAAGCCGAAAAAAGGCCACCTTTGAACAAGACACACAAGACAAAACATCAAGTTTGAGCCAAGAAATATCTGAAGACTGATTTCTCCAAGGTGTTTTGGTCTGATGAAATGAGATTGAGTCTTGATGGGCCAGATGGATGGGCACTAGGCTGGAAAAGTAAAGGGCAGCAAGTTCCTTATCGACTCAGGCGCCAGCAGGGTGGAGGTGGGGTACTGGTATGGGCTGGTATCCACAAAAATGAGCTTGTGGGACCTTTTTGGGTTAATGATGGAGTCAAGATCAACTCCAAGACCTACTGCCAGTTTCTGGAAGACACCTTCTTCAAACAGTGGTACAAGAAGAAGTCGTCATCATTCAAGAAAAACATGATATTCATGCAGGACAATGCTCCGTCACATGCATCAAAATACACCACAGCATGGCTGGCCAGAAAAAGTCTATAAGGAGAAATAATAATGACATGGCCCCCTTGTTCACCTGATCTGAACCCCATGGAGAACCTGTGGTCCTTCACGAAATGTGAGATTTATAGGGAGGGAAAACAGTCCACCTCTCTGAACTGTGCAGTAGCTGTGGTGGCTGCTGCACGCAATGTGGATCGCAAACAGATCAAAACACTGACAGAATCTATGCATGGAAGGCTTTTGAGCATCAGGGTGAAGAAAGGTGGCTATATTGGTCACTAATTTGTTTGTTTGTTTTCAAATGTCGAAAATGTTTATTTCTGAATTTTGAGTTGTTATATTGGTTTACCTGGTGAAAACAAACAAGCGAGCTGGGTATATATTTGTTTTTATTACATTGCCTAATAATTCTGCACAGTAATATTTACCTGCACACAGACATCCTCATAAAATGGCCAAATATAAACAAAACAAACACATGAACTTCCAAAAATATGAAACTTTGATATTAATGAGTTTTGGGGCTGATTGAGAACACAATTGTAGACCGATAATAAAAATAATCCTCAACAATACAACTTTTCTAATATTGCTGCACACAGTGTATACAGACTAACAGGAGCCAATTTAAAAATTAACAAGAAGCTAACCAGGAAACAGAGTAACAGTTGTTTTGTTTTTGTCCCGCATCAAGAAGTAATTGCTGGTAAACTTGTGTTCCCCCAACACCCTTTTATTTTAAAAGTTATCAGATGAGTGTCACATTTTCAACTTGGTGAAGCTTTTCAAAATTGATTTTTTTTATATCACTGACTCTTTAAAGTTAAAGTTTAGTCAATGATTTAATTTACACTAAAGCCTGAACTATTTGTTTTGCTCCACATATCTGCCGGGTCCCTTTTCCCTATAAGTCGCGTTTTATTCTTTATCGCTTTCTGTTATAGACATGTTAAGGTTTGATGCATGTTCCCTTGAGGAAGTTTTATATATTTTTTTTTCTTAACAGAAACAGGACTGTATGTGCTCTGTCAGACAGGTTTGAGGAGAGGAAGCCCTCAGTGATTTGTGGGCGCGGCCTGCAGCACAGTCTCGGCCCCATGAGCCTGTTGATTGACGCGCACCAATGGCTCCTCCTTGAAAACTCTTTCTTTCCCCTCCCCCTTCGTTTTCCAGTGTAGTGCGTTGATTTCATACCAAAGTCATACTTAACATTCCACTTATACTGTCAAACCTCTGACAAATATTACGGAAAACAACAAGGCGCCAAATTATAACAAAGTTACTAAAAAGCGCAAGTGGCTTCACTGGGAAGAATAGGGAGAGTGCGTAATAAAAAAAAAAAAGGTAAGTTGTTTAAAAAAGTTCCCTGTTTCTGTTGTCAGCTTTTAGAGGGGAGATTTTTCATGCCGCTTGACTCGGTGAAGTTTTCAGATCATTGTCATTTTTCACATTTTTCCGCGGAGCTGGGAGGGAAGGGAAATATGTGGAGATTGATACACGATTGTGTTTGACTTTCCCAGAGAGCAGGGGCATCTTTGACAGCCTGTTTCAGTCCTATTTACACCAGATGTCCGCTTATTGGCACAATTTATATTGGAGGAAAAAAAAGTTTCTCTCTTTGACGCAGGAGAACCGTGTAAATATGTTTTCTGTTTTCTGTTGCGCGCAGTTCCAAGCTGAATCCAACACTTCCAGACGCGAGGATTTCAGCAGTTATTCCAAGGAGAGGCAGACACCATTTGGAGGAATAACTTGGGACTGGTTTGGACCTCTGCATCCAAAAGGTAAATCAAAGGTCCTCATCGGACTCAGAGCAGGATTTCCACGGAAAATTAAAAAAAAAACAAAAAAGTTATAAATGGATTTTTAATCTCAAGGCATTTAGATTATTAAACATTTGAAAATAAATATAGACCCTATATCTATCTACAAGTTTTACCCAAAAGCTCTTACTCTCTCCTTTGAGTTCCTCCGGTTCTGTTCAGATTGCAAACAAAGATAGGAAACACAAACACAGTGTTTCCTTTTCAACATGTTTACTATAGGATTATCCTAAACACAATGTTTTATTATTTAATCTCTTTTTTCATTTTAAAGCATATCTTAATATTTTTCATCCTGTTTATATCAATAAATGCAGAGTTACAATGTAAGTAGCAGTTTATTTAATAAAACACAGTGATCAGGATTAAAGCTTGGTTCATTTATGAAATGTAGAACTTCGTTTTTCTTATATGCTTATATGCCATTTCTGATGTCATATTATTAAGTAAACCCTCCTTTTTTAAATCTTCAAGTTTTATCTGAAGTTATATCATTGCTTTTCTAATAAGACACTCAGTTTTTCTGAATTTTCTTGCATGAACTTTTAAACCATGTCATCTGCAAAGTCCTACTAAGAACATAATTCATATGTAGGGATGTGAGATGCATGGATATGCAACTGGCTAATTGTATAATTAGATCCAACCTCAGGCAACACCTGTCCTCTCAGTAAGTTCTTACTCTCGGTTCAGGTTACATTAGTGCAGCAACCAATTTGGACAGAGTTTTATCTTTTGAACCTCATAGAAACTGTACAAGACAGCATTCCTCCTTTGTGCAGTCATAAGAGCTCCACAGTTGAATCACTGACAGCCAACAGGTTTAACTCGGAAGCAGAATGCAGTCCGTCAAGTTGGTAACTCTAAGGAGAAGATCCTTTCAACCCTCCGTGTGACGTATGCTTTAAATACTCCATCAATAAGTTGTTTTTTTTCTTACTATTTCAATTATTACATTGGCTGTATATGAATGTTAAACTCATTTTTTCTTTTGAGTGGCAATTGATCTTCATAAAAGTCATTTTGTTAAAGAAATATCACTTACCACCTCTATGTTTTAATGTAAATGTGATGTTAAGTTACAGCCTGTATTTTCCAGGGGGAAATGTGTGAAAACAATTGCTTCTCTATACATGAGACCTACTTAGGATGCTCAATAATGGATTTGCTTCTGATGAGTAAAATCTGGAAGCTATTAAGTATTTTTGCTGCTCCGACAGATTCTCTGTTTGTTTTTAGGCAGCATGAATATGTTGGGCCTCTGCATATACAATGTGGTCCTTTCTCTTCCTGCATGCAGTCTAAAGTTTCTCAGCCTTTGCAGATTTGATGTATTTGCTCTGTTGCTTTGTGGGAGTTAAATGCAAAGGAGAAAGTTTTACAGCTCTGCGGTTGCAGAGGTCAATTAGATTACTTGAGTTAGTATCGCTTCAGAGTGTCTGTTTTCCATTTCTCCTGCCCCAGCTGTGTTTCTTCAGGTTGTTTATCAAAGCAAGTTAATGACCATGTGTTCCTCTATTTGGGTACAAAAAAGGAAAATCCTGATTTCATACATAATTGCAAACCGTGAATAAATTGTTTTGCAAATAAGTCATGGTTTTGGGTTTATTCCCACATGGAGATACATCTTCTCCCTGCTCTGCGTTACGTTTGCTTTGGTTGCAGCTTTGCTGACGGTCAGTAGCTGCTTCACTCGTCTTTTGCTAAACCCACAGAAGACGAGCTAATGAGCTGGTGCCCATTTGTGCAGGGATCGGCTGCCTTTTAGCACCGTCCCCAGAAGGGCTTGTCCAAATAGTGGACACTAACCTCCATGCTGGGACAGAAATGAGCAAATCAACCCTACTTCTGTTTGTACTGTGAAGAAACAGGAGGAAAGCCTTCACCTCTTAGTGACAATTTAGAATATGATAGTTTATTAAGAGTACAATGTAACATCAGCTATTTAATGAGCACACTTTGATAAAATAAGTGAAACAATTCTAAGCAAAAAGGTTCATATTTTGTCCCAATTTCATCTCAAACACCATTTATTATGTTTTTATTAACATTCATGCACTGCATATGTTTATATAGCTTCCAAACCATCAGGTTTTCACAGATAAGCTTTCTGGCCTCTTGTTCAGGCTGCTCAGGGGAGGAGCCGAGGAGTGGCCTAGAACAGTGTGCTCTTTGTGTCAGCTGTCCACAACTTGTTAAATGTTTTAGTTGTTCTTTCTCTGGAGACCAACTGCTTGGACTGATATATACCAAAAGATGGTGGTCAAAAGAAGTAAGGCATGTAGGAAAATGTCTACAGCAATCCCAGCCTCCATACAGACAACAGGAGGCCGACTCCTACCTTGAGTCTGCCTCGTGCTTTAAAAGTGTGAGGGTTTCTACGTGTGGCTGTTGCATCTTTGTGGAGCTCCAGTGACCCAAGGGCACTCATGTGAAACTCCTTTAATCCTGCTGTGCTGAGTGTTTTAGGTGGGGGTTGATGATCTCTTTTCTGCAGCACAGTGTTCACAATTTCCGTCATATTCAGGAGGATCACAGAAGCATCAGAAGTGAAACAGCACTAAAACTTCACCTTGCTTTTTGTGTTCAGTTGCAGTTTTCCTTGCAAAATCGTCCCGCATATGACACTGATAAAAACCGTGGCTACTCTTAATGCCTCAAATTATGCAGTCAGATGAATTATTGGCAAAGTGCATTCTGCTGCATGTCTTAAAGGTTTCACAGATTATGGCCTGTGACCGCTCCCTTTACCACAAAATGACCAATTCAGGGTAGAATTGCTTCTCCGCTACGTTCCTTGGAAAATTTCCGATTAGAATGCTGATTCAGGCTGTTGGAGGGGGAAAAAAGGCCCTGCGGCTTAGTTTGTGTCAGTCTCTCCATTTTCAGCTAGATTTAACACGAATTGTTTGAAAGCACGACAGTGGGCTGTAGACCACATAGCCAAGAGCATCAGCTATTCAAATAAAACAAATAGAGGGGTAAGATGGATCTCTGCTTTGACTTGTGATGCCTTCCCCCTTGCTTTAGCACTTTTTTCACTTTCAGGGATATTAAGAATGATATAAAAATTAAAAGGAGTCTATAATTGATTTTCTAAGTTCAGCTTCAACATTTATAAAGAGTCCGGCCTTTTTTTATGTTGCACTGAAGCTGTGGATGATGATCCTTGCATGCAACAGATTATGCTGAGGGCCATTGTTTTCTTTGGGCTCACAGCTGGTATCAGACTGCAAATGTTTGACTTGACAAGTGGCGCATATGTTGTGTGTATGTGTGTGTGTGTGTGGTGATGAGCATGTCTCAGATTTTCCCTCTGCCTCTTGCCGTGTGAGCTGCTGGCTGTCCAGCACTCTAGCTCGCAGCTCTGATTGTTTCCTGAGCGCCGTGCCAGATAGGAAGTAGGAGGAAGTTATTGGAAGAGCTGGAGAGAATTTATTAGGGCCATATACAGATGCAGGAGGCAAAAGGAAGGGTGATGACTCTTTTTTTTTTTCTTCTTTTTTTTTTTTCAAAGAGGGTGCTTGTGATGTCACGAGCACATGTCCTAAATGAACAACTGTGCTTCAGAAAATGTGGTTTTTGCTGAAAACCTGCAAAGTCTGTATGTCAGAAGCAGTATAGCTGTTATCAGTGCAGCTTTTCTGGCCTGCAACCTAAAATGTTTCCTTTATCTGTAATCTGACCTTAGCGAGCAGCTGCTCCTTATGTTGCCAGGACCTGTTGTTTCCCCCGCTTCAAATGTGTGTTTGTGTGGCCATGGCTGTGTGTTACAGGGTCTTGCTGTGACGAAGCGCATCGACTGCATCTGTGAGACCCTCTAAACCTTGACTGGACGTGCAGTTCTCATGTGGAGTCGTTTTTAGGCAGAGATTTGTTGCTGTGTGTAAACTCAGACGTTTGTCAGAGGTGCATTTAAGTCCCAGCTAAACAGGGGGGGGTCTGACTGCCAGCAGCGGTCTGTTTTTTGCCAAGAACTGTCACGAGCCCTACAGCAACTAAACAAAAGCTGAATTTCTAAAGACAGGAACAAATCGTGTTGTGCAGCGGTTAGCAGCTAGAACAAGGAATATACAATCTGACAGGAGAGACATGAAAGGAGAACAAGTATGAAGGATCAACATTAGAAGAGGCAGTTTTGAAACAACTCTGCTTGCAATCTACTTCAGGACCTGCAGTCCCGCTGGTGGAGGTATACAGATAGGTAAATAGGAAACTGTTCTCATAGTTTTTGCAAAGGAGTTAAAGAAAATTAGTTTTCAGGGATTTCTTTAGAGAAAGCAGATAAATCTACTTTTACAGCTTTTATAGTTATACAATGAAACGCTAAGCAAAACAAATCTTTAAGTAAAGAGTTTGTTTCTGTTTAACATCATGATGTAAATAAAGTGCAGACAGGCTCATCTAAAATGATTGGAATACCATTAAAAATTAATCTAAGTCATTAACTGAAATTCATATTTTGAGATCAAATCATTACTTAGAATGTGATATTTAGACGGTGAAATAAGTAGTGAACACACTGTTTTTCTCAGTTGAAATATTTTTGTATTTATAATATATTGTTTTATTCTCATAACAAAATACTTTGATGATTAGGTACTATACATAGATAAATATACAGTACACATAAATAAATGTGGAATAAATCAATGCTAATTGTATAAAAATAATGATAAACTACAGAAGAATGGTTTGACTTATTGCACAGAAAGGACAACCTGGCAGAAATGAAAACTATACCAATCGTATGAACTAAAAATAAATAGTATCTTAATGTGTGAAGGTCTTATTTTCAAGGATCAAGTGTTAATTGGGGACCTGGGCCTTGTTGATGAGGCTAGCAGCACATGGGAAGAAGCTGTTTTTGTGGTGATCTGTAATGATCGGCAGTAATATATTTCGCAATAATTATAATACTGTTTTGTTTTTTATGATCCCCTTGCTTTTACTAGTTTTAA